TATATATATATATATATATAGGCAGAAAAATAATAAATTCAAACTACCTGAAGCAGTTCCGTTTCTGTTTCTGCATTAACTGTTTCTTTGACTGTGGAAGCATAAAGCACATTGTAAGCATCCTGAAGTTGCTGATAATAAGACGTAAGCTGATCATATGCATTTCGAAGTTGAGAATAACTTGTTTCCATCTCCGCGCTTTTTTCTTGCCATTCAACTAAACGACGGTTACTTTCGTTTTCTGCCAAAGCTGCCTGAAAAACAAATCTTGGGAGACAATAATTAATAACAAAACAATCAAAAAAACCTTGTAAAAACACAAACTGTACACTCCTGTTCGACACTAAAACAATATTTACAAATACCTGTCTTTGACTTTTTTCAGCAAAATCCTTCTGTTCTTCAAGTTCTCGTTCACGCTGCTTCGCCTCTTCTCGTTCATCTTCCATCAGCTGCGTTAGCTCACACAATTTATCAGAAAAGTTGTCGCGATCAGCAATTGACTAAATTCAAATGTTCGCAAATCATCTTTTCTTTTACTCATTTTTGGTTTCAAAGAGAGATGTTTTTTAGTGCAATGCAAAAACCAACCCTATCAAATAGAGCAAACGAATGCTAATGTGCTCTGAAAGTGCTGTTTCTTTACGGGGAATGATTGGTACGCTAATTCCTCTCACCTTAAATAAAGAAACAAAAATTAACTTACAGCTTTCAACTGAGCGTTCAAAGACCAAATTTCGCCCTTTAATGCTTCTACAGTTGTCTCCAACTCAGCTTTGATCTCTAGTAATCGGTCAACATCTTCCGAAAGTGTATCCTGCATTGCTGTATTCTGCGCAACGCACTCTCTCAAAATTACGTTCTCTATTTCCAATGTCGATTGAATGCGACCTTCTTCGAAGTTACCAGCAACCTAGAAATAAAGATCTGTCGTCCATGAAATCAATGTTTGAAGAGCCCAGTTTTCAATTGCTATAAGTAAGCTCAAACCAATACATCTGACTCAAGAACTTATGATTACTAAACAGTAGCAAGAAAGGTTTATTAATTTACTGAAATCCCGGATTTCTCACACCCGGGGGCAACGTTTGTTGTTGTACTCTCTAATGGTGTCACTGTAGCGCCTGAAACAATCATATTTGAAGAAAGTCTCATAGACAGGCAAAACAAAAGTCACCTTAAAGCCTGCAAAAAACGCAGTTTAAAAACTCAAAGCATTAGATCCTCGAACTGAAGAAAGCTAATTGTGAGCTAATTGGACTTCCTAGAGTTCAGAAAAACCTGACCTTCAATGTCATATGCGACGTCATTGAAGTGGGCATCTGTTCTACAGTCAACATCCCTAAATTTCATAATGTTTCAATTCAGTTAGTGGATGCATAAGAATTGATGAAACGGTGAAGGCCCCATGCCAATTTTCTAACACCCATTTTGTCAGCTAAAGAAGAAATGAAAAATGGTTCGATACTGAAAACAGCCGCTGATTCCCACGAAAAAAAACTTTTCAAAAAATAAGCAATACAGAAGGAGTAAAGCGGTCTAGCGCACCTCACAAAGCAGGATTTTCTCTGAACTTCAAGCTCCACTTTCAATTCATCCACTTTTTTCAAAAGACTCAACTTCTCGCCAGTCAGTAAACTGTACTCCTCTCTAAGTTGATCCATTAGCGAAACAGCTTCCTCCAACTTGTCTAAGTGTAGCTCCTCATTCCCCTCCTTTCTTTCCTCCATCAACGAATCCAATTTCGCATGCAACCTTCTAAGCTCTTCTTTCTGAGCTTCCAATTCAGAACGCTCAGTACAGTACACTTGCTTTAGTGACGAATATTCATTTTGCATTTCTGATAACAGGTTTTCCAAACGACTTTTTTCTTCTGCATTTTCTCGAACTTTTACTTTATACTGATTAAGTTCAGACTCCAAAATAGTTTGATCCTCTTGCATTATATTGCATTTAAGTCTGAGAGTATTAAACTCCTGCTTCAAAACGTCGTATTCGTGTTTTTCTGCAGCTAGTTCATCCATTTTTTTCTGCATTGACGCAATTTCATTTTCTTTTTCACTAAAAACTGTTTCCCAAAATTTCTGTTTTTCTGTCAGTTGTTTAAAAAGCAAACATTCTTCTTTCGTTCGCCTTTCTAAACTTTCTTCCCGCAAATTCTTCGGTTCTTCTACTTCGCCAGCTTGCTCTTCAGCTTTTACAAGTGCATTCTGGAAAAATCTTTCTGCACTTTGTTCTTCCTGAAAAAAGAAATTCTATTTAGCGCTCGAACTGCCCAAGGAATCATTCAACAATTCTATTTATAATAAAATGTAGAAAAAAACCCAAGCAGATCATAAAGAAGACCTAGAAAATGACTTTAGCTGATCATAAAAACTTGAATGCCTGAGGAGTTAAAATACGGACATGACTGACCTTTTGTCGCTCAGCTGCCAACAACTCCGCTGCATATTTTTCGACAGCAGAACGCAACAATATTATTTCATTCTCTTGCTGCTCAATGGTTTTTGACATAAGCTTTTCTTTTTCAGCATTTTTTTTTTCAAATTCGGCCTGCTTTTTATTCCGACTGTTCAAAAGCAATTCAAGCTCTATGCGTTTTGATGATTCATCAATCAAATCCTCGCCACTCTAAACAGACGACAAATTAGCAGTAAAAAATCTTTCCAGCTGGAAGCTCCATTCGTCCTTCATACGAAAAAGAAATTCTCACCTTAAACTGCTGCATGTACTTTCTAAAAACACGGTGATAGAGGGATCAACTACAGGCTAAGTTCATTATTTTAATAAATAATAAACTTGAAATTTACTTGGCACACTTCCTTTCTCTTCCTCATTTTTCGATATTCTGTATCAGAAGACCTTTCCTGAATTGAATAACCAGATTCTAAGCGGGCACCGTATGAATTTTCCGTTATGGGATTGTTATTGATCTAAAACTTGTTAACTACGTTAAAAGTAATAAGTCAAAAAACTACTAAGAACATGTCGGAAGAAAGTGCTTTCTCCACTACGTTAACAGTGCTGTACTCGGTGAGCAGTATTCGTCGAAATTTTTTGAAATAGAAAATTTTACTTGGTCCAGATCCACTAATTCAGATTTATCATCACATGGTAACGTCAAATCTTTTTTTAGCGTTTGAACACCTACATCTCGTCTTTCCAAACCTTCATTACCTGTATCATATCCTTTCATCAAACTGGCTATCTAAAAAATATCCCTTCAATAAAGAAAAAAGAATGATCTAGCTTTCAATTAAATAAAATAAAAGAAAAATGTTTAAGTGCAGTACAGATCTTAAATTACCTTAGCGTTATACTCTGCTTCTCGAGCTCCAAAATCATCAGTAAGATGACAGAATTTCTGTTCAAAAGAATCTATTTCCTCCTTAGCGGTTTTCAATTTTTCAGCCGTTTCTTTCAATTTAACCTCTAGTTCAAAGTTCTCACATTCCACATGTTGAACCCTTTCTTTAGCAAAATTACATTCTTCCTGAGTAATTTTCAGCTCATCCTTTAAAGTTTCGATTTCACTCGAATCTGTAACGTACAATTTTTTTTTCCATTAGAATCAGAAGAATTCAAATTCTTTTTGAAAAATAAATAAAAGATGTAAATTAAGTAACAACCGGTAAATAGATGGGAATTGGAGTAGTTTAGAAACCTAACGAACGCGAAACCTAAAAAATAATGAATTTTCCATCTTACCAAAATACTTTTCTGTTTGCACTTGCCGTCCCTGTACAGGAACAGTAGTACGCTTAGTACTGGTCTCATTCTTTGCAGGTAAATTGTTTGTGGTCTCCTCCTTATCAAGCAAACGTTCAAATTCCAAACTGATTTCTTCTGAAATAAAAGCTGCTACACATTATTTACAGGAAATACTTCAGCAAACAGTAAATTTCTGTTACAGAAGAAGAACTACCAAAATCTCGCGTATTGCTAGCATCCACTTCAACCAGAAGACTTGGTAGACTTTTCGAAATGTTAGCACAATCACTTTCCTGGAAACAGAACTAACTCAAAAACTTATTACAACATTTTAAGTAGCTCCGGAAGATGGCGAATTACACTCACATTTATGACACCTGCTATCGATGCTTTTTCACTGCCGAAACCAAAGGAGCCATTGCGCTGTATAGCTCGCACTCGTTCAGAAAAATTTGCTCCAATGACACCAACAATTTCTGAATTCCTCTTTCGTAACTTTTCAATAAGCTCAGCATTTTGTGTTTCAAGAGACCGAATTTTAGCATTTAACGCCCTAACTCGTATACGTTCATCTGAAATAAAAAATTGCCCACAATGAAGACATTTATTGGTAAGAAAGTAGTTGTACTGAAGTGTGTGTTGACTTAGCTGAACAAATACTACTTTGTGATTTTATACATCAGACATGACAAACGAGTCCAAACCACCACTAATACGTTTTGTAGACTCGAAAATCCAAAATACAAACCATTCAATTGAATCAAGCGAACATTTTGCTCACGCTAGATTTTGCAGTTTGTTGCAATATTGATCCACTTGACAAATATCAAGTACAAAAAAACCAGAAGTTTTTAATGTTTCAAATCGAATCTGAGTATAAAAAATAAAATGCCGTCATTTTTGTTTAGCCTTGTTCAGTCAAATAAACCACTTCGATTTGTGGGATTTTGTTTAGTCCAAATTCAATCAGTCAAACTATAGAACAGCAACCGACTTTGTGAATACCATGCCCAACCATTTCAAACTTCTTTCCAGTTCCAGCGTTCAACCCTCTTTTTTCTAAGTATAAAAACAAAATACGAAAAAGAAGGAGCAAATAAATGCTAAAAAATAAAAGTAAAAAAAAAAAAAGAAGACAAAAACAAAAATTTTCAAATGACAATTAATGCCTCTGACAAAAAAGTGTAGTGCATGAAGAATTTTTTCTCTAAATAGTTTCGCACAAAACTACATCAAACAACAAAAGAAAAACATTAAATTAAATTAATAACTCTTTCGAATGTTTCCTTTTACTTCAAAGAAAAAAAAAACCATACCGCTTCTCGTTTAGAAATGGTTTTAGATGTTCTTCCAATTTAGCGGCATAAAAATAAACCAAGAAAATCAAAACCTTTTATCACAATACTTCACTTAAAAAAGATACATGCATATGCTACTGCAAAAGTGCACTTTGTCGTCTTTCAAGTTTTAGCACTTTAAAAAAGAAAAAAGACATGAATAATAAACACAAAAGGAAAGACGGCAGTTACGGGCAACAAATAAAAAATGAATAACGAATAATAATTATCTGATTTGTAAAAGTAAACTTTTAGGCACTCAGTCACTGCAGCAAAAAAAAAATTTTCCTTTGTTAAAATGCTGATAAAAAAATACCACATCCCTAACACCTTGTTATGTATTAATTTTTTCTCTCCTTTCTCCTCAAAAATCTTCATTGAATCATTAAAGGTTTAAAAAACAAAAATAGGCAGAGAAAGAAAAGAAATTTTGCCATAAATAACTTTTACCACAGATCGATGCAGCTGTTATCTCTGTCACCTATGCCACTGTTTTACGCACCCATAAGCGCTACCACTATTCAGAGGTCAATAATAGCAAACAACTTTAGCAAAAAACCTTATTTAACATTATAATACCTTATAATCGTTCCTTATCAACAAATCACCAACATCAATAGCCTATGAAAGATGTAAACAACAAGAAAAAATAAACACAACTTATACTTCTTAATCTTTGCTCTTTGTTTCAGTAAAGAAATTATTAATTAGAATATGGGGAAAAAAACTGTTAATCATATTAATTAAAAAAAAAGGTTTTAATAATACATCATTTACATGTGAAAGTAGACTTTCACTATTATTTTTTTGTTATCTATTTCTTCCTTCCTCCTTTTTTTTCCTTACATGACTTTTATAATCAAAAACTGATGAATAACCATAAATCCTTGTTTCCTCAACTTCCTCAAGAAAGCGAATAAAAACAAAGAAAAATTGATTGTATACTTCAATCTGACAATCTTTGCTGCAAACAACATCATCATCAGTCCGATATTTATTATTATTTGCGACAAAACAGTGAGAACTCTGACTACTTTTGCTTTCTTGCCACCTCCTCTTCGCCATTCATATACCCTAAAAAAATACACGCACACACGAATACATAGATACAGATACAGACACAGACACAGACACAGACAAACTTACATACATCTACCTATACATTTAAAAAAAATTCCATCCCACCGCCATCGCTGACAACAGCAATATCAACAACAGGCAGCAACAACAGCAAAAACAACAACAGCGGCATGAGCTTCAGTGCAAAGTTTTTCCGGCCTATCTTTTAACATAAACCAGTTCTCATCCATTGTCAGACCTTTATTTCAATTTAACTCGGTTTCTTCTTCTTTCCAACAACTGCAAATCACTAATCCAAAGCTCTAAACGTTTTCAGATGAACCTCTCAAATTTCTGTTTACTTCCGTCATTCTACTTTTCTAAACTAAGTATAGCTGTAAATAAATATAGTAAATAAATTAGACCTATACTGCCCGCTATTTTTTAAATTGTTCTTCGCTTCATGGAAACAACAACCTTTATTCAATTACACTAATACTTCCGTTACCCCTCTTCCTCCCCCGCCCCCCAAAAAGATGCTGCCCACTAAATTTTTACGCTTCTCGATCTTCTTCTCTCCTTCACTCTAATGAATTTTCTTTGATACTGCCAATGTTTTTACCCGAATAGAAAAATATTTGCAGAATTTGTCACGACTGGGATTCAATATTTTACAGTTAATGATGCATAAAAAAAACTGGTTGGATAAAATGTGGAACCTTTAACATGGAATATCTGTCAATTTTTATTTTGTCGATGACTAATATTGCCTCTGATCAATTGGTATTCCTTTTTCAATGCAGTACAAAAACAAAGTGTGCAAAATTCGGTTGAAAAAATTTTTTCTTTTGGATTATTGAAGAAAACAATAGCACCAAAAAAAATCTGAAATATGCAAATTTTACAGAAAAAAAAAACAGATTTTTGCTGCGATGAACAAAATCAATAAAAAACCAATAAATAACTCTCATTTTCCTTCTGTCCCCAGTTCACATTTTGAAAACGTCGAACTAAACTTCAGTAAGACATAACGTTTTATTTTCTGAATCTTATTTATTAATTTTTCAGCTGTAAAACTCAGCTATGATTGAAAAACTGCATCCTTGTTGATGCCGATGCGTAAAACTATCTAAAATTTCTGTGAACTGTCCAAAGTTGGCAAAAAAATATCGGCAATTTTTTAACGGCTGTTTAATTTTGTCCATATTACGCTTTTTTTCTCATGA